TTGGCAGGTCCAGCCGCTCAGGAAGAGAAAAAAGGGAAGCAATCACTAAGAATAATCACACTGCAGCAGGAATTGGATTTGCTAGAAAGGACTGTGTGTGTGTGTGTGTGTGTGTGTGTGTGTGTGTGTGACTCAGCTCACAGCTCAGCTCTGGTATCCCCCTTGGCGAGTAGCATTTAGAATTACTTAAGCCTTCACTGCAGATAATTAGCATTTTCAGCGGCTATCACACTGCAGATCAGAGCAGCACGCTGTGAGCTTCGATGTCGACAGCGTGCTGTGCATTGCCGACCTTGGAATGCAACACAAACATCACATATCACATTTTCCTGTTTTGGTCCCACAAGAGGACGAGAGCGTGTTTTTCTCTTCGTGTGCCCGTCCTATCACAGCCAACTTGTTGTACTTGAAATGAGGAAGAGTAGAAGGATGAAGCAATTTTCAAAATGTTTCTCCTCTCTTCTTTCTGTACAGTGACGCCAGCTGTTAGCTGCTATTGCTGCTTCTGTCCTACCCGAGTCAGTTTTTTTTGCACCCTGAAGCAGTCCGCACCATGACCTCCTCTCCGCTGGTTTCTCGAGCCAACATGGACATCCTGGATGAGCTGCAGCTGATTGCTGCCCAAAATTTGGAGAGACTAGAGGTCAACAAGTACTACGAGGTGATCAGAGAGCTGGGCAAGGGAACCTATGGCAAGGTGGATCTGGTCATTCACAAGATCAGAGGTAAGGGACCACCACAGTGTACATGACGTCTTCAGTGATTGCGCTGTCACCTTTTTGTTTTGGTCTCTGCACCTTAAGTGTAATTCCGCTTTTGGCTCCTAATGAGATGTCACTTTGTTTAGACAGAAGTGTTAATATTTAGATTAGAGGATGGAGTGCTAAATTGCAAGCTTGGTTAAATAACTGCATTCATAAATGTACAGACAGAAACCTCCTTAGTGAAAAGTTACAGACTAATAATTAAAATAGCAGGTAGGGTGGATAGGGTGCACCTCACAGCCGATTATTTTCTAAAACGGTCAATTAAAAATACTCCATCAGTAACCACCACCACAAACATAAACGACAACACCCTCAACTGGTCGCGGCAGATGGCTGCGCCTCCCTGAGCCTAATTCTGCTGGAGGTTTCTTCCTGTTAAAAGGGAGTTTTTCCTTCCCACTGTCACCAATTGCTTGCTTGAAGGGGGTCATCTGATTTCGGGGGTTTTCTCTGTCTTTAACTAGCAATATAAAGCGTCTTAAGGCCCCTGTTGCTCTGATTTAGTGACATAAATAACGCTGAATTGAATTCAGAGAGTTTCAGTTCACTCCAATCAACACAGGGGTTTAACTTTAAGCCTCAACACAATCTAAATAAGTGAGTAATTTAAAATAATACCTCAGTAAAGTCGTGATACAAAAACGTGCATCTGTAAAAAAACATCTGTATTTTTCTCAAAAGGTACAAAAATGGCACTGAAGTTCCTGAAGAAGAAGACAACCAAGCTGAAGTCATTTCTACGGGAGTACAGCATCTCCCTGTACCTGTCTCCGTGCCCCTTCATCATCAACATGTTTGGCATCGCCTTCGAGACCGACGAGTACTACGTGTTTGCACAGGAGTACGCCGTGGCGGGAGACCTCTTCGATATAATTCCTCCACAGGTGCTGATTCACAGATAACGATAGTAATACAGATGATTACTGATCCACAGTCAGAAGAAAGTTGGCTTAAAACTTTAAGCCAGCTTAAAGTTTTAAATTGTCTTAAAACTTTAAGCCAACTTAAAACTTTAAGCAGATAACGATAGTAATACAGATGATTACTGATCCACAGTCAGAAGAAAGTTAGCTTAAAACTTTAAGCCAACTTAAGCCAAAGTTTTAAGTTGGCTTAAAACTTTAAGCCAGCTTAAAGTTTTAAATTGTCTTAAAACTTTAAGCCAACTTAAAACTTTAAGCAGATAACGATAGTAATACAGATGTTTACTGATCCACAGTCATAAGAAAGTTGGCTTAAAACTTTAAGCCAGCTTAAAACTTTAAGCCAACTTAAGCCAAAGTTTTAAGTTGGCTTAAAACGTTAAGCCAAGTTTCTTCTCTACCTTTTAAAGGAGAAGAGGTTGTGGATTGTTTTGAACTGTGAATAATGCAAAGCTACTCTAGTAGAGTCCATGAAAAATAATTTAGCACCTCTACTGGTATCAGAAAAGTCGCCAGATTTTACCCAGGCGAACTGCGCTTTGTACAAATGCAGTTCATCCTGAGGTACAAAAAAACCCCACACTCAAATGAAGACTTTTAAAATTGGGACAGAAACTTTTTCTCATTGAGGGTGATTTTAAAAATTCAAAAATCTAACTTGTCAGCAGCCACCCTAAAATCCTCTGAATAAAATAGTGCTTTTCCTTTCTTTGGCCCTCAAGGTCGGTCTTCCTGAAACAGTAGCAAAGCGCTGTGTACACCAAGTAGCCATCGCTCTGGACTACCTGCACTGTAAGAAGCTGGTCCATCGGGACATTAAGCCTGAAAACATCCTCATCTTTGACCGAGAGTGCCGCAAGGTCAAGCTCTCTGACTTCGGAATGACTCGCCGGGCCGGCTCACCAGTGAAAAGAGTGAGTAGTGTTTGAGTTTTGTACGTTTTTATATTCGCACGTTTCCTCCAGTGATTGTAACCTGTTGGGTTTCCCCTCCAGGTGAGCGGCACCATCCCCTACACAGCTCCGGAGCTCTGCGATGTGTCCCGCCACGAGGGCTTCTGCGTGGACTACAGCACTGACGTCTGGGCCTTCGGTGTGCTGCTGTTCTGCATGCTGACCGGTAACTTCCCTTGGGAGAAGGCTCTGCCCTCTGACTCTTTCTACCAGGAGTTCATCCGTTGGCAGAGGAGGAGGACGAACACGGTGCCGTCGCAGTGGAGGCGCTTCACCGAGCAGGCCCTTCGCATGTTCCGCCGCCTGCTATCGGTGGAGCAGGACCGCCGCTGCTCCGTCAAAGAAGTGTTCGGGTACTTCAGCCACTCCTGGATGTTAGACGCGGAGAACGATAACAACAACGGCAACACGGTTGCTGGAGGTGGCGGCGAAAGAGTTAGTGGCGGAGGCGGCGGCGGCGGTGGAGGAGGCGGAGGGGGAGGAGGAGTCCGAGGGGAGGTGGACGGCACAATCTCGTCATCATCGTCCGGGGAAGAAGACGAGGAGCTTCTCGTGGAGAGGATGAAGCAGCAGACTCTGTCGCCTCGCTCCCCAGTGTCGCCCCTCTCTCCCATGTTGCCAATGGCGGTGAAGAGGGGGAGCGGAGGCAGCGGGGCCAAAGGAGGGATGATGGAACCCGGCGGGGGCCACCATTTCGTGTCCGTCTCCACCAACAGCTCCGTGTCATCCACCAACAGCTACGATCGAATGCCCCGAGAAAACGGCTCACCTGGCGGCCGCATGCTAGTGCCGACACCCATAGAAATCTGCGTCTGAGCATGTCAGGGCTCAGCGGCACACACTTTTATACCTCTCATCCAACCACGTAGATGTTCATGCATGGGAAAAAAAACAAAGCGATAACAAAGTACTAACACGTCTCCTGTTTTAAACATTGTGGGAAAGGAAGAGCGCAGACACACACGCGCCGGAGGACTTCCGAGGACGTCTTTGTGGAACGCACACATTCCTCATGATTGGTCGAATGTCCTGTTTTAACACTTGGAATTCAAGGACACGTTCAAAATGCAAGTGTAGAAAAATGAAGAAAAAAACGCTACATTAGAGATTTCACCACTAAATCGATCTGACAAGAAGACCAAAATATATTCCTTAAAGCAATACTTGCAGCAAAAAAAATGAATTAAAATAACATAAAAAGATATAAAAGTCAGCAGGAGTCGGGCGGAACTCCTCGTGATCTCCTCAACACTGATAAGAAGGTTTTTTTAAGAAGCCAAGGGACAAAAGATTCATGTTTTTGACCGAAACAGAGCTCAAGCTAACACCTTACAAGATAAAAAGACTGACTGAGCCGTGGTTTCAGTGTTTTACTCGTAACAAAAATATGAAAGTGTGAATGTGTCCGTGTGCGTCGCCGTGCGTTTGAGTCTAAAACAAGTAGTTTAATTTTTCTTTGAGAATTTTATTATTTATTTGAATCTTTAAAAAAAAGAAGGAAAAAAAAAAGACTACACAATCTATTTTTTCTATTTTTTTGTAAGGTAGCTCTCTTTGTTTCCCATTCGACTCAGCATTGTGATATGGTGTTGAGGTATAGCTGTGTAACAGGTGTGCTATGCTGCTGTACATACTGAACACTTGCGCATTATGTGAGATGATCTACAGCTTTCCTTCATCTCAGACTAGATGGAGCGAAGGCGTGCGATGTCTCTGCTCTTCACCATAAACATATCTACTTCACAGTTGGAAGACTTTTTTCTACTCACTCCTGAAATTCCGTTTGTATGGTGTTCCTTTGAAGCGTTTTTCCAAAAGAGAACAAGAAAAAGATCTGTCTGCTTTGCTCACGTTTTCATCCAGACCTTCACCTAAAAATGTGTTTTCTTTTAAACTTTGTCTGAAAAAGAAAAATGATCCAATTAAGTGCAGGGGGGAAAAAAAGCAAACACTCAAGAGTCACTTTTTATAAACTGCATGACGAGTAATTCAAACTTCGAATCTGAACCGGCTTTAGGAGGAAAAAAAAAGGTAAAATGTTGTGATGTGATTTTGGTTTTTTTGCAGTAGCACAATTTCTTGCATCATGTCCCAGAGTGAATATTGCTGTTATGACCTCTTGAGACATCCTAGGGCTAAAAGAAAAATAATCTGAATATACTTACCTAGTTTCTATCCAGTGTGATGTATTTGTAATGCTATTAATGTTGTGTGCTCATCTCACCACCTTCAGGAACTAAAAAAAAAATAAGCTAAGCATGAAGACCGAGCGAGAGATTTGAATTTGCATCAAATGTAGGGACTTAAATGTTTTGCTTTTGGATTTAAAAAACAACAACAAAACTAATCCATTCCTTTTTAACTTCATGAATATCAATTGAATTATTTTTCTTTGGGGGGGTGGATCATGCGTAGTGTGTGAATGGATGTTCTCTGTGTTGCTTTTCAGACATAAACTGCATGAAACTGTATGTGCTAAAGCCCTCTTGTGAAAAACTGCTCAGTGTTTATCCCGTCACAGGCTGTAGCACTCTATAGTTGTAGTTAGTATACCGGTGACAAACAACGCGTCAGTAGCCTCAGCTCGGATCTGACAGAGGACCAGCTCAGCCCCTCCGCATGATGCGTTGGATCAGCGAGAGAGTAAATAACTGCATCTTGTGACAATCTCTGACCTCATCGGCAGCCTCCTGATTCAGAACAAAGGACGGTCCTGATGCGGACACTGCTCCCCATCTGTCAACTTCAAGCAGCGCTGCGCTGCGCGGAGTAAACCGTGCGAGCCCAAGCACATCCCACACTCGCATGACCGTATGAAGCTACATTACCTCATCGCGTCATTGTTCCTTTGCAGCGTTCACTCCGAAACCATCTTTCAACATTCGCGCTCTTCCCAAATACACGTGACGTGCTTGAAGCATCCATGGCAACGTGCAACGATAAGCAACGTGAGGATTCTTGTAAATAGAGACACGTGGGAGGTTTTATTGACAATTCTTGTTACGTAAAAAAGAGCCGACATCAAATCAGTCCCTCAGTAGTGCAGACATTATTATTGATTGGTTTCTGAATTTGTGTTTTCAGCGTCACCACTTTGCTCTTTCTTGGAAAGCAGATGTGTCAAGCAAGAGGTGGATGTTATGCTTTTTGTCTGTCACAAGTCACTGGCCAATGAGTGTGGCCTCCATAATAAGTGAAACGAATGATGTTTTTTTTTCCATTTACCTCAAATGACCTATTTTAGCCACAGGGATCATCGCCTGGTGGTCAGTATAAACAGTTTGGGTTTAAAGCACCTCTTTAATGGTTTCACTTTTCAGACATGGACACCTTTAATACTATTTCTGTACCTCAGTTAAAGGACCAGTACGTAGGGCTCAGTGATATTAAATGATAAGACTGCAGATTGCCAGCAGCTCAATACTCTTTCCAAGCATCTAGTAAAACTTCTGGTGACTTTCACCTCATTTCAAACACAAAAAATGGCCCTAATAGAGCCTT